ACAGCTCAGACAGCATCTTCTGTTCTTTGTCTCTTCCCTCACGGATCAGCATTTATGTATCCCCAGGGCTACAGGCTGGCTATACAGTGGCCACTCACCACAGAAGAAATGAATATATCATCAATGGACTCCAGAATGTCACTGGATTTCCACATGAAATGATGTAAAGTAATGGAAGTTATTTTCTCAGTCTGCTGTGCAGAAGTAAAGACACCAGACAACCAACACTGTCTATGGACTACAAGATCTGCCTTTGATATCTCCAGCATCTGGCATCTCCAGGGATCAGGCTCCTCACTGGCACTGGCATGTCAGTTGCCCCACTTCTATTCTGAGTCTCCTAGTCTCTTCCTGTTCTTTAACACCCCATCCTATCAAAGCCCCAGATGTTGAAGTAGACTCTTATTTGGCAGAATGGCCTTTAAATACTGAGCAGTTGAGGGCTAAAGGAACCTCAGAGGTAGCCTAATGCATCCATTCGTCAGCTAGGTGTGAAATTTGAAAAAGTACAGATGACTTTACTTCTCCATTTGACAAGGAGGTCAATGACAAGTCAGGATTGTTAGGTAGATATCTAATTACTAGACAAGGCCAATGAAGGCTGCATCCAAGGAGCAAAGTTTTTCTCATGATTTTTAGACAACCTTCTTATGTGTAGATAGAGAGAGACAGACATTGAAAGGGGGAAAACTGGGACTAAATAATTTCCCAGTTATTTAAGACATAGTTTCCTTAAATGGAAAAAGGACCTATAAAGAGAAAAACAAAACAAGACAGAATTCCTCTGGATGTAAAGGCTCATGTAAGAAAAGGAAAAATTGTTACATAATTTTACTTATATAAGATATCCAGAAAAGGCACAGGGTAGAATGGTGGTTACCATGCTCTGGGGAGAGGGGAAGGAGAGTTATTATGTCATGAACACAGTTAAGGATAATGAAAAGTTCTGAAGACAGATGCTGTCAATGATTATACCCCTTGATGATTGTACTTGGTGTCACTGACTTATACACTTAAAATGGCTAAGATGGTAAATTCTATGATAAGTGCATCTTAACAAAATAAAAACATATTTACAAAATTCCTCACAACAGTTCACTCTGAGCACAAGCCACTCCACTCCTTCAGAAGTACAAGTAGAAATATCCTGAATGAACTACAAAGCTCATAGCCTGAAACCAAAGCCATCCTTGAATCTGCCCACAGTTAACGCCCCAGATTTCCAATCGGCTCATCATTATCAAACCGACCAAACTAAATCCTATTAGAAATGCTGGGGTACCCAGCAGGATGCAGCGCAAGGGAAATTTTAGTAAACTTTAGCAGCTGCTCAGCTATTGCTTAAAGTAATAGCCATTTGATCAAATGAAGTTGTCTTCTGCCCATGCTGACCCAGGAAATCTACCAGAAAAAAAGATGCTTGCAAACCACGGGGTCATAAAGTAAAATTCAGTCGGAAATTTTAGATTAGTGTTTTTCAAGAATTCTGAAAACATCAAAAAATAGACATTTTAATTACAACTTAAGTACATAAAGAGTCTGAATCTCAGGTCTAGTCACTTTATCATGGCTTGAGGGACTGAATAAGCCAGGTATACATCATCAATGTATAACTCAAAAAAATGATCTTTTTTTCATTAGAATACATGGCACATTCACATTCACACCAAAGAATTCTTGCCAAGACATATGGAAAATAGTCTTTAAAGCAGCATTCTTTGCAATAGTGAAACATGGGAACCAATCCAAATACCTGTCAACAAGAAAATGGCTAAATAAATTGTGGGATATTTGTTTTAAAATTACTATACAATTTTATGTAACAATATGGCTAATTCTCAAAAACTTAGTGTTGAGTTTCAAGAAAGTGAGATTATATGTACCTTTCCTAGCAACCAAAAAACATCCAAACCTAAATAATATGTTGTTTAGGAATTCATACATACGTCATGAAACTGTTTTATCACTAAACCAGGGAATGATTTGCACAAAATTCAAAGAGGAGCACAAGGAAAGGCACAGGGAAGGAAGGAGTCCGAAGAAGTGATCTGATCAGTAACAATCTAGCTTTTCTTTACCCCAACTGTCTGATTATTTGTGCTAACAGTTTTACAGAGTTATAATTCTCATACCATACAATAACTTGAACTGTACAACCTGTTCTTATATACTCACAGATATGCACAACCACCACCACAGTCAATTTCAGAATATTTTCATCAGTTCAAAAACAAGCTCTACATCCCTTATCTATCACCCCATTTCCAAAACCTACCTCCAGCCTCTATCTCTAAGCAATTATCCCTACTTTCTAACTCTATGGATTTTCTCATTCTGGACATTTTTATATGAATGGAATCATATAATATGTGCTATTTGGGGAATGGCTTCTTCCACTGAGCATGTTTTCAAGGTTTATTCATGGCGTAGCAGGTACAGTACATTATTTTTAATGGCCAAATAATATCTCATTATATGGATATGACACATTTTATCTATGCATTCAACAGGTGATGAATATTTGAGTTGCTTCTACTCTTTGGCTATTGTGAATGGTCTTGTTTTAAACATCTGAGTACAGGCTTTTGGGTGGAGCATGTTTTCACTTTTCCTGAATTTATATTTACAATGGAATTGCTAGGTTGCACGACAGCTGCTTAGCTGAAAGCTGTCAAACTGTTTTCTGAATGAGCACAACATTTTGTATTTCCAGCTGCAGTGTATGAGCATCCATTTCCTCCTCATCCTCATCAATACTTGTTACTACCCGACTTTGTGACTGATTTGCTATTCCTTGATTGGTGATGTTGAACATCTTTTCATAGGAAGGAGGGAACAATTGTTCATGGGAACAATTCTTTTGTCGCCTATTTATGTATCTTCACTGGTGAAATATTTAGTCAGATCCTGTCCCCATTTTTAAATTGGGTTAGTCATTTTTTGGGGGGAGGGGGTTTAACTGGGGATAGAACTCAGGACCTTGCACTTTCCAGGCAGGCACTTGGGTTATTCGGGTTTTAATTACTGAGGTACAAGAGGTTTTTATATATTGTAGCTACCAGTCCATTCTCAGGTACATGATTTTGAAGTGTTTTCCCATTCTTTGAATTATCTTTTTTACAACTATCTAGTTCTTATATCCTTACTCTAAACCTGGTAATGGGTTAGTAGGTGCTCCTTTGCAATATAATATTCATAACTTTGATAGACAGAGGACATTTTTGTATAAAATATGACATAATTGATTAATTAAGACTTTATGCTTAAAGATGTCTGTTAAAAACATTCAAAGTTAAACACCATGTCATAATGCCACAAATAAGTAAATGCTATTCCTAACAGTGTTTAACCTAACTTCCAGGGACTTAGAGAATCTAGTCCATCAATCCTTTTGAAAAGATCCTCTCTGAACTTATGCTCAGGATGGGTGGGATAGCTAAATGTTGCCAGTGGGACAATCCACATCCCCCTCCTTGTGGTTTATATATTTCCCTCCTTCCCTAAATAAAAAACGGTTTTTATATAGACTCTTACTATCTAGAATAAAAGAAAAAAAATGTTTGCTCTTGCTGAAAATTATATGGACCTTGAGTTTCAATATCTACAAATAAAGTGAAATACAGTCTCATTGTTCCTTTATGTACTGACTTTACCTGCTTTCAATCTATGATAGCTAAAGAACTTGTAGGTTTGCAAAACCTACATATTGACACCTAGCTTGAGATACAAAAAGTTTACCAGCAAATTAAATTGCTTCTTTCAACACTGAGCAGCAAAAACCTACTTCTGTTGAGCAAGGACCACCTCTGCATTTAGCTGCATGACTTCATCCAGTAGCCAACTTCTATTTCTCAGTGTCCTTAATAAATATTCATATTCTAACCTTATTGAGCATTTTTAGACTTGCAACTTTGTGGAGAAAAAGGTCCCTTCTTACAAATATGCTGTATCTTCCAGATCTCATGCCTTGACACAAACTATAATTATTTTCACAGACCTTAATCACTTATTGATGAGTCAATTGTCATGGGTGGCTGAAGAAACTGCCAATCCCTCCTGGCCCTCATCAAATTTGTAATCTAAGTAGCCTCTAGTAACTATGATTCCCCTAAGGAGAACACTGCCATTGTAATCTTGCATTAAGTGGCTTTAAATATTTCACCAAAAATTAAGGAAATATAGATAAGCAACAAAGGGACAGTACTCTGCCAACTCCTGTGGTAAGCTGCAGTGTAGAGCTCCATCGGGTTCTTCGTTCTCGAGACTGTATCCCCAGAAGTCCCTGATCTGTTGGCTAAGTCACCTCTACTCTGAACCTAAATCCTAGCTCAGTATCCTCCGTGTGGTCCCCATCATTTCAGAGACTGTATCAACTCAGACGTCATTAAAACTTGGAGCTCCTCTGCGGTGCTGAGACCAAGAACTTACACGCAGCTCGGATGAAGAGCCCTGAAAGTGGTGAAAGCGCGGCGACTTTCCCAACAACCCTCTCTGCAAAGCAGTCGCGAGCCAGCTGCGCGGGGACCATTTTCGGAGCCATCCCTCAAAGCCTCGGGAGCCTGTGCATTTTTCAGAAGTGACTCATCGCCTCAAGTCAGGTTCTGCAGGGACGCCTGACCGCTTTCTTTCCAGCACGGTCTGACCATGGTGGCCCCGAACGCGTCCGTCTAAGTGATCGCCAGCCCTGCACCCCGGCAGAGCTCCGAGCCCATGAGACCCCTCAAAGTTAGCGCGGCCTGGGGCGCGGGGCTGCTGGTCGGATGGGCAGGCCGCGGCGGCGGGGACGCGGGGACGACGG